CTCACCTTCACCACGTCTCGCATCACTTGGATCTCCGTCTCCTCATCCATGCTCTGTCCCGCCTTCGCACCCTGCCGGTCCGGGGCCGCAAGGGCCAGCACTTCGCACACCGGAGCAACTCCAGCACACGGATTCGCTTGGGGCAACACCGTGAATCAAGGGTCACAATGCTGAACACTTCAATGGAAATCCCCTGCCACGCCCATCGGCGACGAACGACGAAGCGATTGTGGCCACCAAATCCCTGGCCCGCAAGGAGCCCCACCCAGAGCGGTGCGTTTTCCATTCAAAGTCCCTGGACGCCTTCCGCTTCACGTTTCCAAAGATCTCCTGCCGGGTGGGGTCATGCATGTCCTTCTCTGCAGTGCTCGAATGACTATGAAGCACGGTGAAGAACAAAGGTCCCTCAATCTCTAAGTTAAAAATCCAAATATAAAATAGAACACTATGTGTATATATATATATTATATATATATATATATTTGATTCTATCCAAAGTCTGTTGAAATTTGATTCTATCCAAAGTCAGTTCAAAAAGAGAACCCGGCGTGGGAAATGCACTACAGTAATTACACAAGCCACCACAGTGCTCCAGCGCTCCAGCTACGGCGTACAGAGCTTCCAGATACGTCGCCAGACGCCCGGGCCGCCGCCACGGCCGGCCCGCCGCCCGCGCCCATCGGCTCCTGCGCCCACTCCATGATGGGCCCTGCAGCCTCCCGCAAGGCAGAGGGCTTGGTGAAGTCCTCGGTGTTTTTCGGCGGCGCCAGGAGTTGGGCGCCAGGAGTTTGGTGTATCTGTCCATCGATGAATCAACGATTTTTCTGGCCAAGATGGAGCTTCGTGGACAGAAGCAGGGTGGTTACAGTACATAGATTGTGTCAGATTTCCACCTCCCCCAAAACCAGCCCCCGAAACCCACCAAAACCCCAATTCCACGCCCACCGAGCCAGCCGTGTGTTGTTTGCGCTTCTCTCACCTGGATCGGTCAGTCCAAACCGTGGGACCCTCCAAAACCGCGCCTCAATGAGTCGATAGGCGATGTCCTGCTCCGCCTCCGGCGTCGGCTCGTCGGCCGCCCCGCAGCAGCGCCCGCGGAACTCGCGCACCTCGGAGGAGGAGCGGAGGAGCGGGGAGGAGCGGTGGATTTGAGCACCGGCGATTGTTTGCTTCTTTTTTGGGGGGGCGGTGGGTTTGTGGGTTCGTGGATGGGACACCTAGTGCTTGAAAGAAAGAGAGCAGACAACAGCAGCAAAACGACTCAGGAGATTGAACAGCTGTTTTGGCTCTATCTACAATGCGATTGATTGGTATGTTGGAGGGTGGTTTTTTGGCCTGGAGGTCGATCGTTATCTTTCTGAAAATAATGTGGCAATAGATTTGAGCTATTGACAATACTCAACAGCAAAAGCCGCTTTGCCTACCTTTTTGGATCTCAAAGCACATCAATCGCTCTAAAGAACCTTTCGGCTGGGAAAATCCGGGATTGTGTCAGAAATGTATGTCATCCCGTGCCACCATCATACTATTCAGGCACGAAATCCTGCGCTGCAACCGCAGCCACTTCAGAAACCCTGGGAATACACGACCGATTCTAAACACTCTGGAGAAAAGGGACCTCCATTGCAGGTTATTGCATAAATGGTCCAACGTACAACTTGGGGTGATCTGACCAACATATCTCTGGGCATGCGGCCAGAGACTTCCAAAAATCCCTGGGATGAAATGGCAGAAACTTCAAGCTGAGAGTGCGAGCCCCTCCCCATGAGCCGCAACATCAATGGGGGGCAACCCTCCACCCTTCACCCTTCACCGCATTTTCAGAAAACCGTTCAAGCACCGATGACAGAAAAGACTGTTGCAACATGGAAGCGTCAAAACAAGGGGAAGCTTGCCACAGAGGAGGCTCTTGAATGAACACCTTTACCCGGCAAAAGGCTGCCACATCTCTTTCCACTTGAAGCGAACATGAACTTCCTGTGGACTTCTACTGGTAGAATGTGTTTCTGATCTCATAGATTTCCGGTTTGCGGCCTCTATCTGAGTGAGGGCCGAGGCCCCCCACCCTACGACACCAACCCAAAGCATCTCTTGCCGTGCGATGCAAAGCCCGGTGCCTGGCGTGACCTCGCTCGCTCAGCCCAGGCCCAAACGGTGCTGTCCAGGCACCCCGGTACCACTGCGCACCCGTCGTTCCAGATCTTGCTTGGCGCGCCGATTCCGATCCTCGGCCGCGGGACGTCTTCCGGCACGCGGCAGACTCGACCGGACGGAACATAAGAGCTTTTGGGCTTCATAGCCAGGGGTCCATCTCTGAAGAGGCTGTTTGGGGAGCTGACTCATTTTCCCAACCAGCCAAAGCTGTGCCAAGACTTAGCAAGGAGGAAGGAGATGTGGCTTTCTGGGTCGAAGCAATGGTTCGGACTATCAGAGTTTGGGGCCCTTTGTGGATGGATCACCCAGCAGTCCTACATTGGTGAAGGCGGTGATGCTCACCTAAGACCTAAAGCCTTTAGGCGATGACAACGACCAGCCAGACAGACAGCTGTCTGGAATTCATATGAACTCTGCACGAAGAATGGAGCGATCTGAAAACTACTTGGTAGATGTAGCCGAGAGCGGGTGCCCATCTGCATTGCGCTGGGATGAGCATGAGCCGTGGTCAATAAGCCCGCTGGCATAGAGCTTTAGAGTCTCCGTTGGTTGATAGTAGTAGGGGGGATATCAGGGAGGGTAGAATTCCTGCTATATAACTTTAAACTTTAAACTCAAGGGAAGGTTTAGAGAGTGCCAGGGAGGCATCAAGAGTCAGTCCGGTGCACGATCAAAGGCCTCTGGCCCTGCATGGAGACGGTGCCCTCAAGATAATCCAGAGAATAACTGTGGTGTTACCCAAGCACTCGACAATGGAGGGTGCGTTTTAGAGTAGGGCATAGGGAGACCTACCAATTGCTGAGTGTGGTTGAATTTCTTCTTGCAGGGGGGGATCTCCCTATTTCAATACACGCCATTCCAAAAATGCCCCGTTACGTGGCCTCAGTGACCCGTTAAGACGCCAAGGCACATTGAGAATCTCCTGGAGGATCTTGACCTCAGGTGTTGCACCGTGACCAGACAAAAAGAAAGTGTCGCAAATGAATGAAACCATCTTCCGGAGCCGTGGCGATCGTCGTGGCACGTTCCAAGTTCTGGGAGGAGACTTTGTATCTCCGCACCCCAAAAAAAGAAACTGCTTATGAACTGCTCCACTGGAGAAAACAACAAGAAACAAGGACAAGGTCCATGCACCGGTGCAGTGCTTCTGAAGTTGTTTGTTCGTCTGCAGGTCGAAGGGACCGTGGAGTCGATCGTCGCCTCATCCCAATCCTTCTTTCCAGCTTCGGCCACCTTGACACGTTCAGCAGCTTCCTGAGGCCCGGCGAAGCGCCGTTCCCGACCCGGCAACCGCGGGAACCCCGGCGAAGCGTGGCGTACCGCGATGGACGAGGACGGCCGTACTGCAACATTCTGTGCGAGAATGCCACGGGAAAACTGGCTTGTTTGGGGGACCCTTCCCCTTCTTGACCGGGTTGAGTGTCTCTTGAAAAAAGAAGAACCTTTAAACGTTAAAATTGGAAAAGTCAAAAAGCTTGCTTTTTAGGCAAAAAAAACAAATGAATAGAATCGAAACAACAAATTAAGTTGACACAACGCTCAAAAGAAACGAAGAAACCCACACAAACGGTATGGTCGAGAAAGGACCCACGATCATGGTCGGTTCACACAGTCACAGAAGGCTTGCTTGGTCTTTAACAGAACAACGAAAGCAACAAAAAGGAGAAATTGGCTCCTTCCGGAATTGATACAGTCCTTCAAAGATTCTCTTGATTTCAACTTTTTGATACCAAAATGATACCAACTTCATCCCTCCTTAGATTTCTCAAGAATCGGCAGCTGCTTCCAATGCGTTGTGGTTCCTAAACCTGCAAACAGAACTTCCTGGCCATCGCCTTTCCTGAAACCTCCCAGAAAACGATGCGTTCCTTCGCAAACCCCATGCAATGCCCACTCGGAAGTCACCGTCCGCTCGCCGTTCGCGCGCGAGACAAATGCCTCCGGCAGTCGGTCACGTCTTTAGACGACGCCTCAGCCGCCTCAGCCGAGCTTCTTTGGAGATGGCCTTCTCAAGAAAGCCTCCCTGCATGCTGAGATCTGCTAGGACAGCGAATCCGCCAGGTTCAGGCGCACGAACCGACACACAGCGTGGGAGGCATGGAGTGCGAGGCAACTCCCAGTCAGCTTGGTTTCGTGAGTCCTCTTGCTGTGTTACCTGGAAACCAAAAGCACTTCCGCGCATATATTCTCTTCTTGGTCAGAGAACACCAAGCACACAACTTGGCGCCAAAATTGATCTTATATGTGTCATAAGTTATGTGTGTATGATGTAAAATATGTTTAAATATCTATCTACAATTTCCGCTCTTCATGCTTCACACGTTCTGCTGTGCCCGTCTGCTTGGTCATTCCAATTCAAAGCTCTAAGGCTGCAAGAAGCAAATCTCACAAAAGGTATGTTGGCACTATCTCGAGTCATGTCAGCTCACCATGACACCCGACTCCAAAACCCTCAGCTTTCGGAGTTGCCGCAGTTGCCTTTAAGAAGCAGAATCCCTCGTTCGTTGATGTCCATCATCAACCATTTGCACAAGGATTTGATATTCTCCGACCCATATAGGACTTATGTATATACCTTCCTCCGTTTGCAGACGTCACGACAAATAAACACATTATGTTCTACCAACTCACGTTTCCGCTTGTCAGTAGAGGTGTCATTAATGGCAAGTTCATCATCTTGCAACCACCCCAACTGCTCCAACTCCATAAAGTTGACTCGTTCACCCTACCTGAGAAGGCATGATTCAACATAAACTGAAACTGAGCAGAATCAAATGTGCTTGTCTTCTTGATACCTTCCCAGTTGCTCCTTTCCTTAAAAAAGTTAAAAAGAAAACAACCGCCGCCTTTGTCCGGGTTGCACTGGACCTCCTTGTATCGGATATTGGACCTCCGCTCGAAGTCCGATCGGCTCGCAGTCGGGGATGTTGGCAGCGACCGAAGCGACTTGATGTGGGGAGGTACCTGGCCGGCCTACCTCGCCGGCCTACCTGGCCGGGGGCAGGTCATCCCTAAGCTTGAACTATGTGTTTACCTCCTGAAACCTGATTTCATAGGTGTCCAAGGCCGGTCTAAAAAGGCCAAGCTTGCCACCATGATCAGGTTTGACCAACCGATTCATCCAGGGGAGTGTTTTTTTCCAGCGCTGCCGGCCGTCTCCTCTGAGCGCGCCCGGCATGGGCATCTTGACATCGCCAAAGGCGGACGCCAAGCCTGGAGCCACCTAGGGAGGCAGCGAGGCGTGGCGCAGCGCGGCGCGGCGCGGCGCCGTTCTCCGTCGGTGCTTCGTTTTCCGAGCCCAAGGAGTTGAGGAAAACAGTCGTGAGTCCCAAAAAAAACAGCCAATCAATCCACAAGCCACACTGGATGGACTCTTGGCCAGCCTTTTCTGTTGTGCTCTATTTATCTTCCTCATGTTGGATTCTGCAGAGCACTAAAGCAGTCTTCGGAATTCGAGCCAAGGTTTGAGGGGGGTATGGCTGCCTCATAAATGCGTGGCAGGTTTTGTGTGTATAACTCTTCGCGCGGTGAAAACCTGAAGTGTCTTTTCGGTAAAACGGGCCCCACTTGTGGGGATGCTGCCTTCTTTGCTACCCCAACAGAGTTAAAGAGGAAAGGAGACCAGTGCAAATCCCGAGTATTCTTGCTATGTGTTCTGTGCATGACCCATCGACCGTCGTCGCCCCTTGAGGCAACTGCCATGGAAGCTGCAGCACCCAGCAATGCTCGGCGTGGCAACTGGACCGACCGCACGGACCGACCGCACTCGAGACATGAGACCGCAACGCTGCAGCAGAAGGCATATTCTTGAAGCACATCATCCAGCATCATCCTATCAAGTTCGGGGCCACAATAGCCACTCACTGATGTCAAGCTTCCGCCTAGGTTATTGTGATCTGTTGTCCTTTCAATTGACCAATGATGGTTTCACCGAGAGCCGCCAGAAGCCTGGCTATCATGTGGGTCTTGGGCGCTTCTTTTGTCTCTCCTTTGGTCCAACGATCCCCGAATGATTCGATTTAAGTGGATCGTTGGGTGGCTTTTCGGGTCGCCTTTTCCCTGGCTTTGGTCCTTTGATCCAAGCCTTTGGTGGCTTTTCTCTTGGTGCTCGAGTTCTGCGCAAGCGCCCGTGCGTCCTCTCTCGCGTCTGCTTGGCGATCTCTGCCCCGAAACCGCGGCGAACACACCACCGAACCTCTCTTACTTGGCTGGTCGGGCGCGGCCGCTTTTTGTCCTGCCTCTCTTGGGGCACTGGGCAAGAGCCAAGCGGAGCTAACGCCAAACGCAGTCAAGGCCTTGGTGTCACGCCCCGGACTGAGTCATCGCCAGAACATGAGGTGGGTCATGCGTCATCGCCTAAACACATGTGGCGAACACGAAACTAGCTGAAGTGAATTGCAAATGGATGTTCATCTCCTTCCTCATTGTCCCGGAAAAATGTTCAAGACTCATGTACATCTGTGATGATGTGTCAGTCATGCCTTCAAAAGGGGAGGATCGCAATGTGGCACAGTTCCTTCAACTGCTCCCTTTTCCACCATCTACTCCGAATTCATTGATCCAGATTGGACTCTCTCTGCTCGGACTGCGGTGGGGCTTGGAACTTGGTTCAGTTTGAACTACCAATCTGCGCCCGGGGTTGTTTTCAAGACCAGTAGAATGCCCCCCACCAACCCCGCAAGACGTGACCGCCTCGTGCTGAACTGGAAGAAAGGGAATTCGGCTGTAGAGAACGTGTAGAGTGTAGACCGTTGGAGACCGTTGTCGTGTGTCAGTTGCGCAGTTGAGCATCACTTGGTTGACATGGTTATTCCTTCGGATCAAAAAATGTGAAATCTGCTGGGTCAACAGCACGCCCGCGACCCACCCTCCTGAGCAGTGGCCCCCTGCCAGCACGGCCACTGGTGCCCTGCTTCTGCCTCCAGTCCAGTGTCTGCACTTCTCAAGCAAAAGTGCTGCCCCGCTCAAAAACTGGTTGATATGGACCTGAGATCTTATGGGCGCAGTTCTAGAAGTCCCAGTACATCCACTGAACATAATCCACTGTTCAATGAATTGGCAAGGATGTCCAAGGCACATTCTGCCCAGCAACAGCCGGGCAAGTACATGCAAGTAGCATTGACAATTCCACCGGATTTATTGAACCATGAAGATCCACTGGATCTTAGATTCGTATCTATTCTTGAAGGCCTTCATTCTTCAGCCAAGTCCACCAGCTTTGCAGAACGCGTGACTCGTACCCACAGCTCCAGACAAACCAAAGACAAAAGGAGCTCACTCTCGGGAGAAGGATTCACTCTTCAGCTGCCAAAATGACGTGTCTGAGTCTGAGTAAAAGCAAAAAGTAAAGAAGTATGATTGGGGCAAATGCACAAATGTTGGGGGGCCTGGATTGTCTGATTTAGTTGCCTGCCTTGTTGCTGACGTAGTTGTGAAAGGCTTCTGAGATCCACCCAAACAAAGTACCATGGGTATATCCCATTACCAGTAATAGTGGAATGTTTTTCCGCTTTGCATCTTAACGAAGTGAAGTGATTTTCACTTCCAGACAGTTGGTCAGTGTTCACGTACCAACAACCTAATCGAACTAATTACAAATACGAAGGCATGACCGAAATGCAGTAAATGTGGCACACAAGAAGGACCGAGTCTTCCATGAGAAGACAATGCTCAAATGCAAGAAGCGAACTTCAATGCTGCTGGTCCTGAATGTAAGACACAATCTGTTCAAAAGACTAATGCAAGGACTCTGGGTGTTTTGGCACGGGCAAGCCAGAAACACGCCAATGCAAATTGAGATGCCGAGCAGGCGGTGAAGATTGTTTAAGATATGCATCAAGGGCAACAGCTGAATCGAAGGCAGAAGCTAGCAAGGGTCGCCCCTTGAGGGCAGGAAACCAGCCTCTAATGCCAATCCAGTTGAGCTCATCTGTGCGATCAATCTTTTCACGGTCATGTCCAGAAAGGTACACACCTTGAGTGTGTAACCACTTGAGACAAAGAATGAAAATTCTTGATTGTGCCGCCAAAGTTTGTGGACCTTTGGCGTCAGCATCCCTGGAAACATCTTGTAATCTAAAATCCGAAACCCCCTTCCAAGAATGTGCTTTCCCGGGGGCCATGTTGACTGGCGAAACAGATCTGGTTGTTACAGAAAAATCAAGGTACAAGAACGTGCATAGGGGGCTACGAGTATTGCAAGAACAGTGTTTGTCCACACCGCAACTGTCTGGCCCATCAAAGGACCCGAAAGCAGAAGATAGGGTGGTATGGGCACCGTTTGCCTAAGTCTATGCACCGTTTGGTTCAGATTAATGCTCTTCACACGAGAGCATGGCGCCCATTTGATCTGGGCAGTGGCAAGAACACCAGTAACAGTGGATGATGATACTTCGCTAAGGCCTTGTTCAAAACTAGTGCCAATTATTGACCGACTGTTACAGGCCACTTTGGACAGACCTAAACAAACTACCCAGCACCCATCCACCGGGCCTCTCTCCATGCGGACCCGGTGCCTGGGAAAGCGACTCCAACGACTGGTGTTCGTTCTGTTCGCCACCGGTTCACGGGGCATCCGCCGTGACTCTCCCATTGGAACGGTGCCGGAACGAAGGTCTTCGCGGAGTTCCCGCCTGACGAATGCCATGGGTACATGCCCGTCTCCAGGAACCAACGCGATCGTGAGCTCATGTAAATCACATGATGTTCCAGAGCTCTTCCGACAAGAGAGACAGCACCGCTGTGGTGAATCCGATGTGGGAGTGGCAACTCCAATGAAGTGAATGCCTAAACAAATGACCACGGTACCACACACTGGCTGATGAGGAAGTTAGGAAGTGCTGCCTCAAATGGTGAAACCAGTTCACCAGTCATGTCTCGCCTCGTTGCCATCCTACCCACACACAACCACCCACATGTTGCTTTGGGGTGGTTCTGAGCCTTGAAAATGACTGAATAATGGACTAAGACTCGTTCCAGAAAACCCAGCGCATTGCCAGCCCCTTAAAGACGGTCAAACCCGGTAGACCGGGTCGCCGCCGGTCGCCGTTTGCCCGGTCGCCGTTTGCCCGTTGGATTCCTTTTCCGAGAAGCTGAATCTCCATGGTGCCGGCCCGAGCTCGACCCAAACAGCTGCAGTTGAAGGAAGAGGGACTGAAGATGAAGGAAGGGCTGCCTGTTCAGAGCACCTAGAAAACCACTCCATCCAGAGCAATTCTTAGAACTCTGTCTGCTGGGACTCCCTTCTGACTAGGCCTCTCGGCTGGGCTCCGAACCTGGGGGCCCGATGCTGGGGACTCCGAAAAACTTCAACTCTCCACCCATTGGGATTCTGCAGGTACACTGAGCGGTGGAACCCAGTGGAAAAAGGTGGAAAATTAGTCCTTTGTCCGTCTCCAACATCCGTTTCTCAGATCCGCAACGCAACGACGATCTGTACAGTCCACCGTACGTACGTCGAGAGCGGATTGTGGACACCCGGCATCGAACCTGTACTCCAGCTGAGACCTGTTCACCTATTGTAAGTGTGGTGGATGTTTTACATTTCGACCATTTCGACCCAGTGTCAATGGGTTTCTTCTCAAGATATGGGGACCAAAAATATGGGAACCACTTGGCAACTGACCAGGTCCCCAATCCAAGAATGTGTCAAAGACTGGAGGTACTGGAACTGGCCATGTAGGAACTGGAACTGTCTCAGCCACTGACTGGATTGAGATTCAACTTCAACAGGATTGGGAGCCGCTTCAATTACTTTACGTTCTAGGCAACAACCACAAGCTTTTTCTGCATCTGCTGTAACGAATTTAATGCAGAAAAAAGTCTGAGATCCTTTCCACACTGTTTCCCTATTGACACAGTGCTGGTTTTTGGATGCTTCGTTCTGATGAACGCAGGTACATTTATGCCATGCCATTCCAGAAGAGAGCAGGGACTCTCAAGCACAACTTTTCATGCCTTGTCAACCACTCAGCCAGGACCAGGAATCTTCGGACTTCCGAAGAGCCTTCGGTCCTGTCCCGTGGACTTGGCCCTACTAGACACTGGGCTGAAGGGATTGGGTCCAGAAACGGGGCCCAATCCTAATGGGTCCTACCATCACAACGACAGTTGATCGATGTTCAGTTTGTTCCGTGAAGCGGCGTGATGTTGGCCACGGCAAGTCCTAATCCGATATGACGTGGAGAGGCGCTTTCTGTATTTCTATAATACCTCCATGCTACCAGAGGAAACTCCACCCAAGACTTGGTCTTCTTTGGCGGACTTGTTTGGACTTGTCAATCTGCAAGGGCTTGGCTGACAGCGCGATCGGATGATCAACTGCCTGTTTCAGAAAAGGCATGGGCCACAGCTTCGGTTCCGTGGAACCAAACCTGCAGCCGAAGTCCACAACTTCTTCAGCGTGTAAAAAAAATGCATGGAGCTCCACCGAATGATAGACGTTTCTTTAGAGATGTTCTACCTATGGTTTTCGATGGATGGTCTTCGATGGTTCATGCTGTTTGCGCATGATGTTATCATAACCCATATGATGGTGCAAGTGCTAGCAGTACACCTCAAGCAAAGCAAACTCAAACAAAAATCAAATTATAAACAAACAAACACATGTCTGTTATTTGTATAACACCTGATCATACAAAACATGAAACCCAGAGCAACTATTCACAAGCACCACATCTACTAGAAACCATGGAAAATGCTGCGATTTGCGAACCTCGCTTGTCCGCACAGCTTGGCACATCCAACTCGCCACCGCCGAGCGAGCTCGCGAAAGCGATTCGAGCTGATTCCATCGAAAAAAAAATCGCTTGTATACTGTTTCTTCGAAAAATAAACGGAATGCGCTCTTGACATTCTTTGGATGGGTTTGGGGAATTCGCATGAGTTGAATTGTCTTGCTTCTCCAGTATTCATCCATGAGCAAAGCATCCTCTCATGGCTCGAGCAGATTTGCTTCTGGCTCCACACACCTTTTCTGGCCAATTCCCGGCAAGCTTTGGTCCAGGGGACTACCCCCCACTTTCAGCTTGCATCGGCCAACCTTCGGTTGGAGGCTGGATTACACAGTAGTGCAGTCATGCACAACCCAACCTCCAGACTATGCTGCGCTGAACTCAACTTCTGGCCCGGCCCCAACCGCTGGGGGAACGGGCGGATGGACGTGAATCGGACGTGAATCAGACGGAAGGAAGTGATCGGCTATACACCCTGGCATCGAAATGAATTCCAAAACTTCCAGAGACCGCATGAGATCATGCACTTCGTACATCGTCTTCAAAAAAGTTGATTTCGCACAAGGGTGTAGAAAGTGATGTAGAATGGAAGGGTGTCCAGGTGCCAGGATTGACATGTAATTTTCATCTCTTCTTCCTTTGGGTCTCGGGGAAGAAACGGTTCACCGACTTTGGGGTCAAATGACCAGCGTGATGACTTCATGAAGCAAAAAGTGCATGTGGTCACCGATGAAGCGAGAAGCGCACACGTGGATGTGAAAAGAAGAGGAGTCGTGGGACAGCCCCCGAGGCCTGCAAGCCAACCAAACGTGATCGAAAGGGTTCTGCAGGTCTTTGGTTTGACCCAGGTCTCCATCTCGAAAGCTGGACCAATCAGAAATTCCTGAGGTCTCTGAAAGCCTTCATGGTTACTGTAGCAAAAGGAAAAGTACACGAGACTCTTGTCCCAAGCTGCCAGCCACACCAATACAATCATGCACAGGTCCAGCCCTTAGCTGTGCACTGCAGAAGGTGCAGGTCCCAGCAAGTTTCGAGCAACGCTGGGAGAGGAAATAGCTGAGAACCCTGTGAATCGGCAATTCCTCTGACACTGAGTCTCACAACCGAAGTTCTTGGAATATGACTAAGAAGGCGTGCTGCCAAGGAGCTCTGTACTGTTCAGGTGCATTGCCAAGCTCTTCCTGCCAACCAGTCATGGGATACAGTGTTGAAATCTCTGCAACTCCAGTCATCAGAGTTTCTTCTGGTTGCATACTCCATATTGGCAACCTCTCCGGTCCAAAAACATTGCTAATCTTACCTGAGGCAACCCAGCCACCATGACAACTGCTCCTTTGAGAAATGACTCTGTTCGGCAGAACACCCCGCAAGTGTGCGGAAATTCGTGAGAAAATCAGATGAGAGTTCAGTAGTTCGGGCTCCCCTTGATTCTGAGACACCTTCCTTGCTTCCTCAAGCTCGACAGCCAGTCCACCATGGCTCACATGATTCACCAGCCCACAAGACCACAGAGAGGTGGGAACGGATGGAAAACGGCAATACAAAGCAAGCATCCTATCCACCTGTAGTGTGTGGTGAAAACCATCATCTTCACGTCGCGACAAGCCCATGCACGGGGGAGGATGACAACCCACCGGAGTTTGGCATGGGACCTGTTTGGGTCCGTCATGTCGTTGGTTGGGACCTGTCGGTCAACGGGTGTGGCCTTTGGTCACGCTTCATCGGAAGATGTATGGAACACGTCCCACCCCCCAGGGATTTCCGAAGCGGTCCAAAGATCGATCGGTGCACGGTGCAACGCCCCCCACCCAGTCCTTCGGTCTCAGCTGCGCAACGTGTGCTGTTTGTCAGCACCTTAGCTGGCAGAAGCAGCCAGCAGAATCGTACTCAAGCTACATTGAAGTGCCAGTAGTGAGTCAGGCCAAAACACATAGTCCATACTGTTGAATCGTTGTTTTCTTCGTGCAAAACCAGCCCAAAGTGTGGCCTTGCCCTATCACAGGTCAATAAGTGTGGCTCAGTATACGGGTTGTACACATTTATCAAAGCTGTTCATGAATGTACATGATTGATCCGAGACCACTCATGATTGTCCGACGTTCTAATGCTTGTCCGACTTCTCAAGTGAGGCAGTCCCTGGTGGGAGTGTCCAATTTCTCCACCCACCCAGAGTCCCGAATCACCTGAACAACCTGAATCACCTCACCAAGCTGCCTTGCAAATCAATCCATACTCATTCAAGTTCACTTCCAGTCCCATAGCCATTCATGAAGTTTCTGGTTTCTGAGTCTGGCCGCGCTCCGCCAAGTGGCCGCGCGCAAGAAATCCTTGAGCGTCTAGCCTCCACTACGGACGCTTTTCGGAGACAGACCTCAGTTCACAAGGCGGATCGATTTGGATGGCTCTGTCGGTTGTTGGTCCGTTTAAGACTTGATCTATCCTTGGGTGGTTGCATCCACATTCTCAAGATTTGGCCTTCAATGGCTACGGCAAGCCACGGCGTGGCTTGCCAAAAGTCTATATATTATCCAAATCAACCACTTCACGAGAGACCAACCTGAAGGACACCGTTCAAGTGGACAACATGAATTCGGCCCTGACGCGCCGTCTCGTCTCGTCTCGTCTCGTCTCCTGCGGTCGCCACGTCTTGTCCGCTGCCTTCGAGGTGCCCGTCTTCCGGGCGATCGATCCTGAGATTTCGGTCCGGGCGGAGGGCAGGGCGATTTGACTGAGAGAGGGGACTCATCCAGACTCCCGACAGGACACCAAGAAAGAGAAGAACGGAGCTCATTTGGTCTTGACCCTACAGTGCAAAGCTTGAGCCCAGTAACAAAGCTTCGTCCAATCTCATGACTGCAAACTGCCTCCTTCCGCAATCTACTACTCCACTACTCCACTACTCCAACACCCACGGTCAGTCCCAAACCCATCCAAACCCCCCAAGCAGAGTCACTCCTTCCACCGACGCTCTCCCACCGAGCAGCCTGCCGCTTGTGGCTCGTGCTTGGGTCGGTGCCGCTGGTGAGCCATCGCCAACTTGTGCCCGCGTCGGTCCAGACCAGCGTCCCGGTCCAAGGAGGTCCGATCGTAGGGGCTGAGGGCCTCCAGCAGACCCAACAAGAGCAAGGGTTTTCATACGGCGAGGTTCTGTCTGGTTCACTTCACCGGTGTAAACTGAGGACTCCGATGAATCTG